TTAAAGTTAAGATTCACCAAAGAGAGTATGTTAACTTTACTCTCTTTGGTGAATCTTAACTTTAAATCCTCTTTAAATCCTCCCAATAATGTTGCTCTAACATAGTTCTTTTGGGTTTAGTTAAAAGAAGGTGAAATAATTCTAACTCTAAAAAATCTTTCTTTTTGAAAACGAGCTATTTTTTATTTTATTTTTTACATTTTGAGATGATTAGTTTGGATTTATCTCAGGATATTCAACTTTTATAAAAGAATTGTAAAATCTCTTTTCACACACACAAAAAGGAAAACAAAGAATCTTTCCACGTGAGAGTGCAGCTTTTTCGTATTTTGAGTTTGTTTCATCTCTTCTTGCCTAAAGTAATCTTGTGAAAATTTATATTATGTACAATAATTTTTCTTCTGCAAATACAAAATAGCAACTGCACAATTCAGATAATTGATTAGTTGTTTACAATTATACAATGGTGACTTGGTGAGACATTTTATTTACATTTGATATTCATATTATTTCTCAAACAAATGTGGAAACTCGTGAAATAAAAATATCTTACCGACAAATACAAAAAAATAAAAAGGTGAAAAGAACAACAAGACACTGTGTTTTAGCCTGCATGCCTCGAATAAAACAATGTACTCTTTCTCTAATATCGAGTAACAAACGTGACAATCGATTCAACAAAAATAAAAATAAAAATGGTTAATTCTTGAACCAAACTTTTTAACTATTACCATTTCTATTCATGTCAAAGTTTAACCCGTGAACCGAAAGAAACAGAAAGCAACAATTTCAAGATAATACATAATTTCATAGTTGGACTTGGAACTACAAATCTGAACCGAGAAATCGCAAACTAAACCAATCAAAACCAAACTAAACCAAACAAAAGATAGATCGGTACAATATCATCAAGTAGAGAGAGGACAGGACACACACACATTTAGTGGCAGAAGATGACTTTGAGCTCTCTCGGAGAAGAACAGTCATGCATAAGCGAAGGACTATCATGAGCAAACGTGAAAGTCGAAGGACAAGCATGTTTAAAGAACAACGAATGGCTCGAAGCTTTACAAGTGTTAGGACTATTGTAATGACCTCGACAACACAGCTCGTCTGAACGGAAAGCTTCACACCCACTCTTACAAGCCACCACGTGTCCGCTGTGTGACCTGACTTGAAGATGAGCTGGACACGATTTCAAAAGATCTTCACGACAGCCAACGACGGGACAGACTCCATGGCCTTCGTGAGGAGTCACAGTCATCGGAACGTTGTAACCGTCGACGAGAGATACGCCGTACGAGGAGAAGTCTTTGTGTCCACCATGGTGTAGGTCGAACTGAGCTAGAGAAGCTGGTGTTGCACCGCCGAGACCGTTGCATTCGAGGCGGTTCCCGCAGTCTCCGGTGATGCATGAGAATTTGCCGTTGTAGTGAGCGCAGCCGGTTCTGGCCCAGATGCGACCGGACCAGTGTGTGGTTGGAGCGGAGAAGGAACGGTGAGTGAAGGTTGGGAGAGCGAAGCCACCTTTCTCCAGGACAGGGTGGCCGGCGTTAGGTTGAATGGCTGGCCAGACGGTGAAGGGACAGTTGTTGACGACGGTGAGGAAAAGACGGCCGGTGTCTGCGGCGGAGGAAAAGGAGATGAGGAGGAGGAAAGAGGCGGCGAGAGGAAGAGAGGTTTGAGCCATTGTGTGTTTTTTTTTTGCTTTTGTTACTCTTTTTGTGTGAAAGATGTGACAATGCGACGTGTGTGTATATATAAGCTTTAAGAAATTTGATATGTATAAAATATGTGATGTGTAGAGTGACGAAAATACCCTTTGGGTGTTTGGGGTGGTTAGGCAATGATTTTAGCATGTGGGTTTAAGGAGATGAAGGGCTTTAATGTCAGTTTAAAAGATTATGAATATTGGATTCTATGAGAGTCAAAAAGTTTTCAAAGCTCTTTAAAGAATCAAATGATGCTTTTGTTTCCTTCATTGGATGATTAATCCTAAGGTTTGTCTTTTGGTAAATAGCATTATTTTAGATGGTTGGAAAGTGACATTTTTAAAAAATATGTCATAAGTCATCTACAAAATGTGTTTTATCTTTAAAAAAAAGAACTTGTTCTACTAAGTTCTATCAAGTTCTCTAAACTTGTAAAGATATGTAATAAAAAAAAAGTATACTATTTTGACGCTTTATGACTCATGACCGTAACAACATGACAAGTTTCAGTGGATATTAGTGTAATAAGGCTTAGACTGACATGTTATATTCGTTCAGATTAGTATAAGGGTTCTTTGACAACCACATGAACACGACAAAGGACAAACAACAGCAACAAAATAAGTGTGTTTTGTGTCTGCTTGAGCAACTTCGAGAATTTGGTAATCGTGCAACCCTTTCTTGGGCCTCACTATAGCCCAATCCTAAACCTACTTCTCCCTATTTTATCTTATCCATCCCCCCCCCCCCCCCCCAATCGAAAGAGGCAAATGTATCTTTGTCAGCAACGTAATTGTTTGTTTATTCATTGGGAATTGTACTAACTACAACTTGGTAAGTAATTACGCACCTTCATAGTTCATACCATGTTTTGTCCATGATTAAGGGTAAACTGTACATCTTTAGAGTTGTTCTATTTTCAGATTGTATAAACTGTAACATCTATAAAAATTCGCAAACAATATGTTGCTAACAAAATTTGAAGTGGACATGTTGAAATGTCATAATAGTACACACATTTACGTTAATACATTTGGTAAACAAGAGAATCACAGAAATACAAATCAATTTACTTTGATCATCAACTACTGCATATGCAACTTTGAATGACCTTTTTTTGTGCCCTAATTTTACATACTGCCGGACTTTTGTGTGTGCAAAAGATCAGACTAAATGACAAGATTCAAATCTCTCTCTCTCTCTCTCTTTCGTCTTCCTTTACTTGCAATTTTGTTTGTTTTTGGTTCTATACAGTGCGTTTTCTTTTCGATCTTTTGCTTCTTCGTTGGCCAACGTCAGGAAGCGGCTTGCCTGTTGTGCTTGAAGCTAATGCTCCTTCACGAGCCTCTTCTTCCTCATCATCTGATCCTTCTTCTGATTCAGATTGAGATTCTACCAATACAACTGTATCTTTCGCGAGTGCCTTGTTCTTCTTGCTGCGCTTCTCTTGCTCTTTTAGTTGTCTAAATCTGTTGTCATCCAAAATTACATTTATCAGAAAGTTGACAAACTTGTAAGCAAAACGACTGATATGGAGAGATAAAAATCTCCACGTACCTTTCACCAGCATCGTCAGGCTGAGCAATAGATCTCTTTGCTCGTCCGGCACTTATTATTTTGCTTGCGTTTTCATCCATATTGGCTTTTGCACCACCTAGTTTACGCAGATATACTTGTTGGGCGGTGCTAAGTACATTATTTGTGAACCTAAAACCATAGGATGGTTTAACATAAGCAGCAGCGTAATAACAAGTATTAAAAAGAACTTGATCCTACCACTATACAAATATAATCATATTTTTGTCGCATAATACAGTCACACTAGACAGTTCCTTAATCCAACAACAAGCTTCGTATTCATGGAAATTTTAACCTATCTTATATACTTTTTGAGAATGATCAATCTAGATAAAACATTCTGAGGTAAATCAAGGAGATGAATATAATAGGTAGATGAGATTTTCTAGGTGAAAGAAACCAACCAGTAGATAGATAATCCTGATGGGACAGACAATGCAAAGTATCCGATCATGAGTGGAAGAAACTTGAAAACAAGAAGGGTGTTCTTCTGGGCAGGATCATCTGTCTGTCAGAACTCAGAAGAAATGAGATTCGGCTTCAGAACAATCATATCAAAGTGTTAAGAGTTATATGAAAAACAAAGAAGTTCGTGTTATTTCTCACTTGAGGAGGCTTCATAATCTCCATTGATACATACTGGGAAGCAATAAGGAGAACAGGAAGAACAAGATAAGCTGCAGTGTCGTACCATCCCAATGGCGGATGCCCGTCCTACACCACCGAACGATATTAGACACCAAATGTTCATGACACAATGATAAATAGAGTTTAGTAATAAGATATAACACATGAGAGAATATAGTCACGTAAGTTAACAGTTTTTTTCTTCCATTACCACAAACGGGAAAAGCCATGATATGCCGGATCCACTTTGCCTAGCAGCTATACTTGTTGGTCCACCCAGAGAGGGAATCCAAAAGAAACCTTCTGTAAAAAGCCCCTGCAATAAAAAAAAATTCAAGCACAAATAATTTTTTTTTTAAAGTCTAATATGCTTACCAACTTACTTATCTGGTCTTTAGTTGTTTAAAAAGAGACACAAGGTATATCATGTACCTCGTTAGCCACGTTGGAGAGAGCTTGGTATAAACCAATCCAAACTGGTATGGTGGCTAAAGTTGGTAAGCAACCTTAACATCAAAACAACAAGAATGTGCACAATATCAGCAAAATTGAGTAAGCAAAAACTAGGATACAAAAACTCATAACTTCTAGAGAAGTACCTGCCAATGGATTAACACCAGCTTGTTTATACAAGCGTGATGTCTCTAGTTGTATTCTCTCCTGCATATCCAAAAAAAAAACAGAACAAAAAGTCAGACTCAATCATCAACAAGTAACTCAGATTCTAGACAACAAAAAACTTCACCTGATTGCCTGCGTAACGTTGTTGAATCGCTTTAATCTTAGGTTGAAGATTTTGCATCGCTAGTGTTGATTCAACCTAAGCCAAAGATTCCAACACAAGACATGATCCATCAAACAATGCTCTCAATATGCCAAAATTGAATCAAAAGTGACAAGAATAGCTGCAAAATTCTTATTCCCTCCCTCACTCACTCACCTGTTGCTTAGTCAATGGATACGTTGCTGCTTTGACGATAAGCGTAAGCAAGATAATCGCAAATCCATAAGCGTAAGGAACATGAACTGCAGAGAGTCCATCCTTCAAAATCTAAAATATCCAAACACAAAAAAACTTAAGACAATTCCAGAAACATTTGCTTAATTCTAAACACACAGAGATCGGAATTGAGCTTCTTAAAAACTTACCTTAAGCACCAACTCCATACCATCGGAGATAAAACCAAACCAACCACCACTCTTCTGCACGGCGGGGGAATCAGTAGATACGACGGAATCAGCACCAACAACGGCGGCGTCGGCAATTGTGTAGAGAAGAGACTCAGCTCTGGTTAACATCGCTCCGATGTCAATCGAAGAATCCAATCCATGGAAAGGAGGAATCTCGTTTAAGCTGAACCGTACGGTGGTAGAAGTACTGAAAAGCTTATTACTCCGGTATGGTAGGAATTGAACGCTTCCTCCTCCGGCGTTGCTTCCACCGTAACGAAAGGACGATGAAGGCTTAATCAACGGCGAACCGAAGAACGAAGACGGAGACGAGACTAGAACTCTCGCCATTGGAGGAGGTGCTTGAGAGAGGAGGATGAGAGGAGAAGAAGATAGAGAGATTTTTTTTATTTTATTTTATTTTAGTTTTATTTTAATTTTATGAATTATCTTTTTAAAAATAAAATTGGAACGACGAAGAAGCTGGTGATCCGCGCGTGAGCGTATTTTCATATGGTGGAGATTACATCCAATAATGAGAAAACACGTGGCCATGTATACAACGTGGAATATATCGGTGCTTTCTGTAGTTTGGGCTTGTTAAGGCCCATTTTATAAACCGGCCTAGTCAATTTAACAGGCTCATTACTGTCTTTTTTTTTTTATGGATCGAATAAACAAGAGGATTGGGTAATACAGAAACATTCATATTTTGTGTTTTGAAAATTTGAGTGTGAAGATACCTCTCTCGACGAAGCAGAGGTTTATTTCATGAATGCTCAAGAAAATGAAAATGAGGATGATGGTCTTAATCTTTAATGAATCATTAGTATTTTTATTTTGATGTTTTTGCATGTGATTATTTGTTTTGATGTTTGATGTTCCATAATATATATATACGAATTTTGCTACAAGTCTACAACATTGTCTAGGATCTTGTGGTTGAGTGGTTATGGAAACAGGCTTGAAGCACCAACACGACTCTAGTTCGATCTAGATGCTACGCAAAACTCCAACACATTCCTCTTAACTAAACGGATAACTCATTATAAATTTAGGGTGCAAATGATTGCACAATTTAAGAGGTTGAAGAGGTTAAAAAAATTATAGCTCGTTCAACTTAACAAACTAAAAAAATGAACTAATTATACATAAAATTTGTTCAACTCATTCATTTTCTATTTTAAAGATAAATGAATTAAACCCTATTCAACTTTTTTTATTCAATTTATTTTTTTCCTAACTCTTTCATCATCTTTGTGCAACCATTTCTATTATTTATTTTGTTTACGATTCATAGTTAATGGCGATTTTAAAATAATCATAAAAGATTGTGAAAACCCAAACCCGAATGCTTTGTGAATGTATGGCAAATGGGTGAAAAAGCTTTACCACAAAAATTATAAATAAAAATTGTGAAGAAAAAGCTGCGTACTACTCTCTTCCAATTAGTTGATATCGAATCTGATTCCCACACCACCACCTTTTCTTACTTTTATTTTCTTGTCATTATCAAATTTCTTGCCACGTGTGTTATTTTATTCAGTTTTTTTTATAAACAATTAATAAGCAATATAAACTAAATCTGAAACATTTCTCGATAAAGAGGTTAGCTTTGAGATAAAGAGTTGATGTGCTTAGACTTTTATACCTTCCTATAATGAGAGAAGCAAGGCTCTCAAATCTCTATAACTTGTAAAATATAAACAGGTTGTTATTAATCTCTATATTAGTAAAAGAGAAGTATAAAATAGAATTTGGGTCGGGTCAAAATTTAAAAATTAACCCGATTTTAACAATTGGATACTTCAAAATTGGATATTAAAATGGATTCGGATACATACATCGGATACTTTCCATATCTCATTTTAGGATTATATTATTTACATAACTAATTTTAGGATTTCCTAATATTTCTCTAACTAATTTAATAGAATATATTATAAACAATTATCATTCTTCTTTCACTTTTATTTGATCTTATTTTCAATTTATAATATTATACTAAATATGAAAAATGTTTTAATTTTTTTTTAACTTTTTTCGCATATGTTGCAATTTGAATTTTTCAAAACGGACATATAATACTCAATTACACTCGGTTAAATATTTTGGACAA